CGTATTTTATCAGGATGTGGGTGTGATTGGAGAAAATCGTTTCAAGCTCACATTCATACCAACACTCTATGAGAGTATATCACTTTTCGTGAAGAACTAAATAAGAAGCAGACGATAATATCATATCCAAGTACGATATTTATTTCGATGAAAAACTATTATTCATCAAAATGTCAATAATCCAAACATTGCTTATGTTTGCTATAGTATTCACTTGTCGTCAATTGCTTTGGCTCTTGCCTCCATTGCTTCTTCCAATTCTACAAATATTTTGTGATTTTTTAAAGATGATTTAAGCAAAATCTCTCGAGCTTTTGAATAACAATCTAGTGCTTCAGTATTTCCACCGAGTTTACTATATAAAGCTCCAACATTTCTATATATGACTGCAATTTCAAAATAATTTTCAGGATAATGAACTAAGGCTGAATTAAGCGCCTTTTGATAATATTTTCCCGCTAACTCAAATTGATTGTTGCCTTGATAAACATCTGCCACTATTGTATAGAGTTGTGACAACTCTTCTCGATTTGATGGCACGATTTTGTATGCTTGTACTATATATTTAAATGCCATTTTATATTTTTTCTTCCATTGATAGACATTGGCAATGGCCATATAGTTTGTTGCAATATTAATATGAGTACTGGTGGGATCCATTTGCAGACGAATTTTCAGTTCTTCTTTATGATTTTTTAATGCTTCATCGTACTCTTCTTTTTCATGAAGGACAAATCCCAGACCACGATAACAGTTTGTGATATCATGAAGACTACCTTTCAATTTTAATAGTTCTTCTAAAAGATTTTCGAAAAATAATTTTTCTCTGTCATGAAGACCTTGTTTGTAAAATACCCATCCAAGTGCATCAAAGTCAGCTAGTTGTATTTTATCTTCTTCATATTGCAGTATCGAATTTAATTCATAATCATCTTCACTACACAATAATAGTCTGACAGTCGATATCTCTTCGTTTTCGTTACATTTAACTTGATCAATTCGAAATATTGCACCCACATTGATAATAGTGTCAGCTTCGTCATGAAAATTACTTTGATCTTTTATCTTGGAGAAAGGTACTGTTTTCATATTTGTATCAATTATAATCTCAAAAAGAATCGGTTTCGATGTCGTCGTAGAAGGGATATCAGCAAAAACCAGCGCAACTTCTTTATCATCCGATGTTGATAGAAAACTATTGAAAGATATAAATTGATCTTGACTATTGCATAGCAGTTCGAATTCATTCATAAACATTTTTTGACCACGATACAAAGTTAGTTTTTTTGTATTTGATTCGTGTAGAAATTTACGATGTTGCTCTACTAATTGGTGAGTTAAATCAAAAATAAAATAATACATTGCAAATAAAGCATCAATATCTTGATTACGAAGTGCTTCGTTTAAAATTGAATAAAGAAATATCTCCGTTGAATACCAATAGAAGGCTTGTGCTGGATTATAAGAAGTTTCAAAGCTGCAAATTTTTTTCTCTTGTTCTTTATTATCAGATTAGTGTTTACGTCAAGCGTTAATCAGTTCCTGTTTAGCCATAGCATTATCACATGGCGTTTTTATAAGACGTCGAAGAAATAGTTGAAAGTATAGAAATGCAGTATTGCGTTGCTCACGTTGTTCATAAATCGGAAAAGAATCATTTTCAGAACGATAATATATATTTGGTTTCGAAGTTTCATCATTTTGTATACGATTTCGTTGATCATTATTTAATTTCGTAATAAGATCGTTTAAATTGGAAAGAATAGCTTTGACCTAATATGTTAAACAAAAAAAAAATAAAATCTGTCAGTATTGTTAGCTTTTGAGAAAAAGCTAAAGAGGTTTTTTCGGTGAATCATGCTTTCTAGGAAGCAAAAATTTTCATGAAAGAAAGAGACTTTGCAAAAGTATATATTCGATTACTACTAGTCTCACAACAAGAATTTACTTACCTTCGGATTCTTCTTCTGTTTCAGTATCCGAATATACATAAATGGCTATTATCTTCATTTCATCGTGAAATTTTTCAAGTAGTTGACGATCAGTAATAATTAAAACAATTTTTTCATTAATATTTTCATTATTTTTAATATATTCTTTACATAAATTATAGTCATCAAATTTTTTAATATTTGAAAATCTTTGTTGTATCAAGTATACTTTGAAAACGTGAAAGTTTGAATATCGGCTTGATTTGTGTTGTCATCTGTTGTTTGTAAATATACAGAGTCTGCACATGTCAAAGACAATAGGTGAATGTTTCTTTTTTTATTTTTTGAAACGAACGAGCATCTAATAGAGTGAATCTCAGTGTGAAATAGAATGAAAGGAAATAAGTTAACAGTGCAATTTTCTTTTTTTCTTATGTGTTTGAAGATTACAATTTGTTGTTCCTGTGCAATGTTATTAAAAAGAATTTATACCCTTTTTTTTTGTTTTACTTTTTCTCACTTTGGAGGATTGCAAAATATTGATAAGAAACGCAAAAAGCTATGCTTCGTTATGTTCTTCAAGTATACCATTCTCTTGGAAAGTGTGAGTGTGAATGAAAGAGCAAGACTTACATCCACACCTATTATTGTCTGTAATGTAGAAAACAAATTTAAAGAAAAAATATTCTTCGCATGAGAATATAGTTTATTTTTGATACAAATATTCCCTCCACGATAGGGAGGGTCATATGAAATAAAATGCGTTTGCGTCTATGTATATATGTGTTAGGATCAACGGTCATACAAAACAAGTCCTTAGAGTTTGACCAAAGCTTTTTGGGATCGAGGAATCGATTGGTTTCATTAGTTTTTGAAAATTTTCAAATGATTTTTTTTCACTAAAAAAAAACCTTTTTTAAAGACAATAATGATTTTTTTTTATAAAGTTTGACCACAGGTTTCTGAAGATGCAGAATGAATTGTGGATGTGGATGTGATACTTAATCTTCTCTTTGTTCACGCCCACATCAACACTTAACTCACACCCTTATTCGTTCCTGTTTTTTCTTCTAATCAATATCGATAAGTAAAAAATGAATCATCTGAATAAATAAACTTTAACTTGTTTTTTTTTTGTTTTTTTATTTCGAACTTCAGTACAAGAGTAAACATAAAAGTCAATATAATAATTTATTTCCATTGCAAATAGATGTTGTCTGCTATGTATTTAATTGTAAAATGATGAAGTAATTTATCACGATTAATCATTTCTTCTAATTTTTGAATGATTTTATCATTTGCTGTTGAATTATGAATACATAATGAACGAAGATATTGATTACAGTCATGATTAAGTTTTTTTAAAATATTTTTGATAAATAATTCAATATCCATATCATTTATAAACTCTACTTTGAGATGGATCATACGAGGGCAAAGTTTAATAAGAAAATAAATTTCTTCAATTTTAGACATTTTTTCTAAATAAACTTTTTTAATATTATTTTTATTTGATACAAAATGAAGCTTTTTATCTTCAATAGATGAATATCTCGATAGTGCTAAGATCAAAGAAGTTATTTTTAATGTATCGAGTGCAAATAATTTATATATTATGTCGATTAATATTTCAGAACAAATAGTTTTTTTAGAAATTTCCAAATGATAAATCTGTGTGACTGCTAAAAGATCACGAATAATTAAATTCAATATCATTATATATTCATTACGAGGAAGATCGGTAAGTGTAAGTCGAGTAGAGTTTAAAAGTTCAATAGAGGACGAATTCACATCATACCATCTTTCTCTAAAAGACAAATATATATATATTATAAAAACTTCTTTTCAATGTACTTATATAAACGAATTGAATAAATATATTCGAAAGAATCCATTTCAATTTCAAATATCGATTTTCGTTCAATCCAAAATAATGAATTAAATCGATTAGGAGGTTCAAAGTTTGTTAAAGATCCAGATTCAGGATCGATTTGTTGATGATATTCTAAATAAAATTCTTCTAATTCAATCAAATAATTTAAAATTAATTCTTCCCATCGATCATCATCAAAATAATCTCTATCTTCAGAGAAAGTAATAAGACGTAATAATTTTAAATTACATTTTGTTTCTATAATGAACATTTCAAGTTCATCAAATCTTATATCAGCCACTTGTATTGAAAGATATGTCAAATTAGAAAAAATAATTGGCAATATAATTTCATTGTTTGAATAATTTTCAAATAAATTCATCAAATTTAAATGACAAAGTTGAGGTGTATAAGATATTAAAGTACAAAGTACATTTAACGTACAATCATGATTAATAACAAAATATTCAATAGTACTAAATTGTTCATTGGTAGCAATTAGTAATGAAATGGATATAATAGTTGGTTCTGCTGAAATTTTAATATATTTCAATTTTGGTAAAGCAAAAATTAATCGATAAACTTCATTTAAGTCTCTTAAACTCGATTGTGTATCAATGGTTAATGAAAAAAGACGAGGTAAAGACGTTAAATTAGTAAGAAATGAAATAAGTATAGTTGATGAAATTTCATTGATAACAATTGATTCAAGACGATTAAATGATGAATCGATTGAAAATGATGAAAAAAATTCACTGTTTTGTAATGATGACCACATATGTAATGAAATTATTTGATGTTTATTATTAAGTAGAAGTTGTTTATAAATATTTATATCTATTTCATTAGATGTTGAACATGTTAAATAAATTTTAAAAAGAAGAGATGAAGAATTAAGAAGTTGTTGAAAACGATGATTAAGATTTGAAAATGCTTTATATATTTTACAACCATCGAGATATTCGAATATTTCATAGAAAAATTCATTAGAAAAATTTTCAATTGAAGTTATCGACATATTAGAATGAAAATTGAATGATCAATATAAAACTTATGATCTAGAAAGAAAAAAAAATGTATGCATGTTTATTCGTTATTCTTACTTCATGAAGATAAATAATCGAAATGACGAATTTCTTTTCTTTTCTTTTCCTTTCCTTTTCTTGTCTATAAAGACGATCGTCGATAAATCATTGATTGGTCATTTCGCCATACAATTTTCGAACAATTATATTCATATATTAATGAATGTCTGAACTCGTTTTTCTATTATAGAAATTTTCTTCGTGAAACAATAAAACTTTTCAGTAAATAACTTCATACAAAAATGAATAACAAATGAATCTATAAAAGAAGTGCAAGAGATTTTTTAAAATAATTGATATGAAGTTATGTATATCGATGGCGAATAATTTTTTTTCTATTATATGTGACACTTTTTGTTCTTAAAACGAGTTCATTCTAATAAAATAAAAGTATGGAAAAAGACTATATATAAGTAACTTTTAGTCTTTTAATAAAGTTATTTATTCTTCTGATAATTTATTGTCGTACATTTTTTTTTTTACATAAGAAATTTATTTCAAATTTTAATCCTTAGTAGTATGTTCTATTTAAAGAAGAGCAATAAACACTAATCTTTTGGAGCAAGTGATTCGATAATAAATCAGTAGTATGCTTTAAACATGTTTCTATATATTGATAGAGTTCTACTGTTGATAAGTTTTACCATGTTCGCATTTCAAATTTCATGACATGATAAAAAAGATAATCATTTTAGTTACACTCATAGAAAACATTTGTTGAAGCAAAAAGAGAACAAAAAAAAATAGAAGGACGATTAAGGTTATGTTTATCTTGATCCTTTTTCAAATCTATGTTCACATAATTTAAGGGTAAGAATCTTTTTATTCTATATGTTTTTAAATTTTGATGTAAAAAATATATAGTCAAATTTTCAGAGGCAGACTCATTCATATTATTGATAACATAGTTTTTAGTGTATTTTTTTTCTTTTTTGACATGAGAAACAAAATTTTGTTGAAGGTTTGTAAAAGATGCTGATTATACTAGCTCTAGTCCATTGACGAACTATCTAAGCATTTATCGTATTAAAGACATACACTCTTCTTCTTCAAGACAAATTAGGGTGTGGGTGTGGGTGTGGGTGTGGGTGTGTGGGTGTGGGTGTGGGA